ACGAGGAACGATTAATAACGCTGTACCCATGTTACATGGAACATTTCTCAAAAGACCCTCCTTTATTACCGGCATAAGTGATAAAATTAATCAATCGAGCATAACTAGAAGCCATTGATTGGTCTTACCTACATAAAGCCAAGAATAAATCACTCTCACAATTTTTCTCTTACATCCTCTCTGATTTTTTACGCCGTTTATGTCATATAAAAATCAATTTTACATGCATTTATATTGCATATAAATGATATTTATCATTTGAAGTAAGTAAAGTATATTTTATAATGTTACAGTTAATACATATTATATAAAGACAAAAGTGGAGAAAAAATAATGTACATCCCTGAGAAGATAAAATCAGCTATTTGAGAAATTTTGATTACGTAAAAAGGAGAACATTTGCTTTTCACGCTGCATATGCAGCTTGTGTGTACTCGTACATCTCTCTCTTTCTCCGACATCACTTAACGTCGCTAAATTTACAGATAATAATTCATCCACGACATCAAAGTCATGAATCTTACAGCGGAGACAGTCAGTCCCCGAGAGCAGTTTTCAAAGGCAAAAGCAAGCACGATCATATATCGCCTTTTCCATTAATATTATCTAATAAAAGATCTCAGAAAGCATATATCTCCCGCAATATGCTTCCTGCTTTTATGTAATTTTTTGAAAGATAGAAAAAAAGAGAAAAGAAGAAAAAAAAAGAATTAATAAAATTATGATGTAAAAAAATATCATAATTACATGTCACAACTCCAAGATAAATAAACAAGTAATTAAAATGCAAAAGACACTTCTATAAAAATTCTTCAAAAGATTTCCGCAGTTATTCATGAGTTGGTATAACATATATTACAAGAAAAAAATTTAAATCTTACATTATATAATTTGAACCAAAAGACAAGAAATAATGGTATATATTATAATATCTATTTTTACTGTTGAATTACAACATTAAAAAGCGATGATTAAAAGCATCGTGTGCAAATTATTATATGATAGTCGTCTTTAGAGATGTGAATCTGTCATAACTTGTCGTTTATAACATTACGCTGCATGTACATTTTATATTTGATCCATGTATTCACTCGCACGGAAAACGCAGATGATAGCAATAAATCGATGTATCATAAAGATAATCATAGTGATTTGTCCTGAGGATGAGCACGCGCCATGCTTGTATCTTTGAATAAAAGCTCTCGTCCCGAATACGTCAAGCAACATTTACGTCATTTATCGCGTATTTGCTACTCCCGTTATCTTTGGTCTGTAAAAGTCTTCTATGATAATAATGTCTGGAAGTTGATAGCTCGGTTATATGTAAAATAATTTCGACATGTTCTTGTGTTTTGGAATATTCATAAAAATTCATATAAAAATTATATAAAATTATCAGAAAGATAAAGCGAACACGAATGCTTTTTTATACAAGTCTCTTTCCCTCTCTGATATAATAAAAATTAAACTTAAAAAAATATTTACAATGGGATATGAAGAATAATTTCTTCTTTCTGATCGTGAGTACTTAAAGAGATTTAATCGAATTTTACTGACGTTCAACTGTTGTTTCTACGATTTTCCGCAATCACATAGCGAATGGTCAGTATCAATTCCAAAATCATCAATGAGACGAGTAGTAACATCCAGTCTTTCACACGATAGTAAAAATAATTTCTTGTTTCAGAGAAATAAAGATGATTTATACAGGCTTTCCACGAATTTTTCTCCGCACCTGTCAAACATTCCTCTTCGATCAAGTGCGGATGCTACGACTTACTTTGTTAATGGCTCGTCAAAACAACGCAATATCAGATAGTTTTGTGCTAAAAGAAATATCGAAGTCAAACAAAATTACATTCACAAGTACACATGATAACATAAACGTCTCGATCAACGTTTAAACAAATTGCACTATACACTGTAAAAAAATATGTAATATATTACACAAAAATATGTAAAAGTACATAAATAATAAATGTAAAATTACACGATAAATAATAGAAATTTTTACCTTTTCAATATTTATCATGTAATTTTACATATTTTTATTGTAATTTTACATATTTTTTTTTTACAGTGTACGAGTCTCATGAATAATCAAGTCTTGAACATTTCGGGCGCTTGCGTTAATGATCTTAGCAACATTTTTGTTCAGGCAAGGAAAAATTCATAAATTTACGTCTGTTGTTCGATTTAAGAATTGCAGCTAACCTATTTGAAACCTTTCGCAGTTTCCTCTTTCATTATGAAAATTATATTATCGTTTTTGTTGCATTTATACGGTCTGTGATAACAATGACTTTCCTACAACAATATTCACTCTCATTTATTCGTGATAATTAAAAATATTAATAAACATAATACTTTTGACGACTCTCATCAACGAATCATTTATTTTGTTTTATCAAAACATATTATCAAAGAAAATTTTTCGCAAAGCAAATGTAATACGATGCATTTTCGATAAAAGTGTAGATGCACAACAGCACAGATCATGTATCACAGTTTTTTAAATGTCAATTGTAGAATCATGTACCACAAATTAATAATAAACTACACAGAATTTATTATTTTCGAAAATATTTCGCTAAATTTTTGAATTTATGATAAGAAAAATCTTTGAGATATAACAGTTTACATTGAAATTATCATAATTAAATATGTGTGTTTTTGACATGTGTGCTTTTGATATGTGTATTTTTTTTAATCGAGAACGATTTCATTAATGATTTTACTGTCGTGTACAGAAATGGCAAAGCTATATGCACAACATGCAAAATTCATATCATGTATTTAAACAGTGATATCATAATCTGCGCAAAACATTCAGAAATTTAAAGTGTACGCTTTAAAACGCAATTGAGTGGATGAAGTTCTTCTTATACATGATAACTCATACATATATATTCCCTCCCCTTCTCTCATTTTAAATCCAAGATATGTAAATAAAACAGATAAAAAAAATATACATAAGAATATATTTCTATTCGATATTTAATGCAGCACGTACGTCACTCGTTATATAATCGGCTATTACATAACTAATCATTTCACAAATCCAAAAATACGAGATGCTTGTTTGCAAATATCGATATTCGCAGAGAAGCTTCTTATGATACGTTATCATAAGGCATTATTGTCAGAGCTTACCGTCGCTGAACACATTTCGTTTTACATACAGTGATGTCAAGAGCGTAGTCGCATTTTTTTTTTTTTTTAGCATCGGGATCATTTATCGGCGTGACTAAGGTACATAGCGCTTACGTTGTGTGCATGCTCGGCTAAGAGGCATAATAGACACACGAACGTGAACACACACGAACGTATCGACAGACGACGACGGAGCTAATAACGCGAGACGCCGCGATGATCGCGCCTAATAATAAAAGCCGCTGACCCAATGTTTGCATAAAAACGTGACATATGGAATATGTATATGCCAATATTTTTTACGCCGTTCTTCTGCCGCGTTGCATTAATCGAATGCAATCAAAGTCAATTGAATCTCTCAAATGGCAGTTTTCACGCTCGAAACGCTTTGTCCGCATCGCGCTCATCTGAATGTATGGAATGCTTATACAAAAGTATTATTGTATTTTTCAGAATTACAAATTCAATCTGTGAAGAATTGGTCAATAAATGTTTCTCTTTAACGAGAGCGGTGATAGAAATACGATGACTTTTGCATGCAAAATATAAGTTATACAAAATGAAAAAAGAGGAAAAATAGATTTCGCTCTTAAATATTCAATTTATTCAAATTTAAGCAAATGTTCTTTTAATAGAACTCTGCGATTTAAGGCGCAATTATTAAGGGGATCTCATGTTAAAAATACACAAGTTTTACTAAGGAAATAAGTTCATACATGGAGACGCCAGGCGCCACGTCTCCTGGCGGGACGCCAACATTATGGATTTCGGAATATATACGACCAGAGATGTTTCTCTCTCAATTCTCCCCTTTTCTAAGTTGGTCAGCGCAGAAATCGACCTGGTATTCGAGTCGTTATTGTCCAGCTTAGTTTCAAGGATTATCAAAGCCATGGAAAAGTTCCTACGAAACTCTTAATCACCGGAAATGACGTCTTTCGTCAGAGTTCGTGAAAACAAGATTCCGAAACTGAGATAAAAAATTTTCGCGCAAGCGAAAATTTAACGGACATCTGATAAATTATTCAATATTCTATTTGCATTTAAAATTTCTGTAATTGTAACATGCACCTTCCTTCTGTAATTTCTTTATATTATCTTGTCAAACAAATTTTACAAAGAAATGTAGAAAAATTGTAGAAAACACATTTGCTTTTTTTTCGACGGTTAATTTATCGAAAAAACGATAGCGCTGATAAGAAGTCCAAATTAATCCAAACTTTCAAGTTTAAAGTAGCGTAGAAAAGTTGATAGAAACTGAATTGCTGACTTTTTTATCGTTTACAATTTTCGTAGAGAAAATTTTCGAAAAGTTGAATTAAAGAAGAAACTAGTTCTCGATCAAGATAATAATATTTAACTATGTAACTTATATATATATATATATATATTATATATCAAAAATGTACAAAAGGGAAAGAGAAAGATGGATTTTTGAGAGAGAGACAGAGTTTCGTAAATAAGTATGCTATAATTCTAGAAAATTTATGGTTCCAAGATAATCTTAAATACATCATTAAAAAAAAATAAAGAAATGCTCCCAGAAAAAATAATCAAAACGACAATACAAACAAAATAAATATTTTCTAAATTTTGTTTAAACGGAAATAAATTTTCAATTCTCATAATTAGTTGTCAATCTTTCGTTACCAATTTGTGAAATTGCTTTACAGAATTCGGAATTTATTTACAGAAAAGAAAATTGTAAAATCCTAGTTCTGCATGAAACGCGCAAATATATGTATTGTACAGGGACAAGTATCGTATGCCACGTATATATCGTCGAGCGATATGGGCAAGTAATTGTTTTGCATTATAATTATCGACATTGTTATAAATGCGCCGAGTACGCATCGCGGAGTCCATTAGTGCAATACGTTGTTGCGCCAGTGTTTACGTTCGTAATAGCGAGAAACATGGGGCTACAAGGATGCTCGAATATATATATGCTGATCTTGCTACTGAGTGCAATTACTGCAATCAGTGTTCAGGCTGGTAAGTTTTCGAAAAATAATAATTGTCTTGTGCAACCCTGAGAATTTTTGTTCGCAATTTTGACACATCCAAAACACATAGGATTAAATATTATTGTAAGATATAATAACTTGCGTCACAAATTTTCACTCATTTCAATAAGAGAGATTAATCAAACAAGTATTATCACGTACAACAAATTTCGCAAAAAAATTCATATATTGTATATAAGAGGTTTGTTAAAGCGTTATTTGCAACATATTTCAAAATTCGTACTGCGTACGAACTTAATTGGTTTTCAATACTTTTTTTAGCGCCAAGTGGAAATGATACCAGCGATATCGATTTTGATAATAATAGTAATGATGATTCTAATACCAGCATTAGCGATGATAATAATACAAGTGATAGCAGTATCGGTATTAAGAATGATAATGAAAATAGTACTAATGCCAGCACTGACGATAATAAAAATAATACTAGTAATAACTCTGACGATGCCAGCAACAATAATACAAGTGTCAATAATGGTACTAGCAGCAGCACGGACAGTGGTGCTACAGGTGATGATGTTAAAAATGATATTTACAATATAACATCATGTGTAATGCGTACAAAAGTTATAGGAACTCTTGTAACACAAGTTATTCAATTTGTTAAGCTAGTTTTCATTATTGTGCCTGGTTTTCAAGATAATTTTCTAAAATATTACGATGATTTTTTTGCATTTGTAGTGAACCTGATAGTCTTATTCAGCCAGACATGTCAAACAATTGTAAAACTTGCCGTACCATTTTTACAATTAAGTTTAATCTTTATGAGTTAGAAAGTACATTATTTATATGAAGATTTTAACTTCAAAGTTATTCAATCTTGTCAAATTATCCAGCAAATGTGCAATATTTAAATATTATATGTCGAAATAATTAAATATTTATTTATATTTCTTCGCATACGTCGTTATATTTTAATATATTATTTTAAGTATATATTAATACAGCGTGATATGAATTAATTGTAATGATAAAAGATATAAGGGCAAATATATAAATAATACAAATTATAATATTGAAATATATTTCTTGAAATATTAGATGTATAATTTAAGAAAAAAATATTTGTAATCGCGACAGATTATTTGTTACGATGGAATCGCGATTATATATGAAAGCTCGGCAGTAGTAATACAACTATTTGGTCAGACAGCGCATAAATCCTTGCGTTCAAGCATTAAAAAAATTCTGCGATGAGACGAGTAAAAATTCCTTTTTCCTCGACAAATTCATCGAATTTAATGCAAAATAAAGTAACTGTGAAATTGGTTGAGTCATGTAAATGTATTATTCATCAAAAGTGTCATCGTTCCACGAAGTTTTACTACTTAAGGTGATCGCGCGCGCATCAGAGAATACTACTTATTTTAATTTAAAATTACTAGTGCTTTCTGCAATGAAATATGTATTTTATGTATTTATGTCTCACATATTTGTTGAATATAATGATGCATTGTGTTATATGTCATAAGCTGTAACTGTACTTACGACATACATTTTAATAAAAATGTTTCACGAATAAGAAGATAATTATGTTTATTGCACATTTAATTATTTTTACTTTACATATTAATTATCTTGCATATTTTATTTCTTTTTCATTAATATTTGTCAAGAATATGATCATTATTTGTACGTGTGGTAAATTAATTTATAAAATTTACTAGTCACTATTTTACGCAAGCAGTCGAAACAATGGCAGAATAACGAGCAAATAATGAGATTTTCTCATTTATTGTACTTCGTACTATATTTACTTACAGTTTATTCATCAGCACACATAATTTGCGACGATTTCTACGATCTTATCCTTCAAGTGGCATTGGTAAGTTGACAATTTCAGCGAAAATGCACACATATGTACATACATACAATGCATATACATATATGTTACGATATACGCGATTATTTCCTGAGAAAAATAACCGTGCGAGTTGTAAACGCGATAGTACAGGAATTTATACATAGAAATGAGAGCTATGTGTCTGTTGACATGAGTCACATAGTCGACCGAAAAAAAGCAGCAGTCACAAACCGACATACGTCACAACGATAACATTTCAATTTCGTGTTATTTTCGAGACTGCATTCGCTTGCGAAAAATATTTGAAATACGTCCTTCGTGCGGTTCATCGGGTTTTTATTCAATTATAGAATCGATACAGTGACATATTAAATTGCACGTGCTGATACACAGATTTCCAAGACTCGATCAGATAGAAGAACAAAAAACATGTTCCATTGGAGCGTTAAAGCGAGATAATAATCGTCGTTGCTTATCACAAACCAGGCTGAGAAAGACTGATAAGCTCAATTAGAGATACTTTCCGATCAGACCTCTGAAAATATCGCGACAAAAACAGATCTCGTTAAGATCTCGGCGGATCTCGCGCGCAGCGTCGTCTCTCGGGATAGTATTTCGATAAAATCGAATTTATTTACGTCCAACAATCATGAGCGATACACGTGATACACACGAGTCGGCTTGGCGATACGGGAAGACGAGATCTCTTGAACCTGCGTGGAAGAGGTTAAATGACCGGGTGTGATAACGATTACGTGTTTCTCCTCTCAATATTGCTATAACGTCACAATCTCTATTAATCGCGAAATTATCATTCGAACAATCAGATTGGCACAATATATTTTTAGTCTCTCCATTCTGTAGTATTATGAAATATCTCGTTGCGCAAAGAACGCGATTGACGTCGCGTTTGATTTTTCTATGCATAATCTTTGGTGTACTTTCCCGAAAAATTTCAGAATCGTTACATAATTGATCAGATAATTTAAAACTTCCTCAAGTGAATGAACGATAAAGCATTGTACTGATAATTTTTTATGCGCGTATTCTATGCTTGTTTCATTACTATTTATTAGATTGATGACTGCTTGTTCCTTTTCAACGAGAAATTCTTTGCACTGTGCGTTCGAGCATTAAACGACAAATAAAACGTGCAAGACTTTTTACGCAACGGACCGTGAGCAACGCTAATTGATTTCAAAGGCAGAGGCGCCTTTATGAAAAGTCTAACGGACGGAAGATTGAGTGCGAAAACGCGAGTAAATGTTTGCCGTGAATATTTCGAAAATAAGAAAATAGTGAATTAATACTAGGCACAGTCGCTCAGTCCGATGGAAAATTTTTTATTTTACCTTCTCATTTGCGTTATAAGACAGTCTTGCGATGCAATCATAACACAGCAATTTTTAAATAACGGAATACTAGGTGTCATAATAATACATTAAAACTTATTTTCAAACAACATTTTCATTGCAAGCAAATAAAAAATATAAAGTCATAAAAATACAATAAGGTGGAATAATATTTTAAAATAAAAGGCCAATTATTTCATCAACATATTAAGTAAATTATTAAATAAAAAAAAGTTAAATAAATAAATAAAGTTTAAAAATTAATAAAAAATATCTAGCAAATTTGATTAGAACGTTATATTAAAATTGAAAGAAAGAGAAAAAGAACACATTGTATATATCACCAATTATCGCAAACTATCGCAATTCCAATGTTTAGCAAACATATATATTTGTTGAAACAGGTGTTCAATCATATCCGCGTTAAATATTGATATCATTATTAGCACATACGAGTACATATAAAGTGCTATTACACTGCGTGGCCACATATATTGTCTATACCGATCGGTTTATTCGCATCGAGTCTAATGGTGAAGTCACGTGTCCTCGATGTCAATGTAGGTCAATTAATTCAAAATATCGATTTTCTTTGAGGAGCAAGCGACGCTCGCAAGGGCATCCTTCGGATCAGTTCTCAGTACTGTCGACTATTCTTTCCTCGTGAAAATAATGGAGTTTTGTTACGTTCGATTAATTCAATCACGAGTCACACAAAAAACTACAGAGATTTTTGTATATAGTATCGCCATAAAAATATTTTCTCTTAAAAGAAAAACGGCAGTTTCAAAGCATTCAGATATACTATATTAAATTTTCATATAAAACGCATTTTTTATGTCAACCTTCCCGCGCAATTGCCATCAAATGAGAGTAACTTTACGAGCGTCATTTTTTAAAAGATATGCTATTACGAATATACGATCGTATGCGGTAAATGTAGAATTTCGTGAAATTGCTAAATTTGAGGGAAGGATAGTGGATAGTAAAATACCAATACAAGAAATCGCTATTTTCTGATTGGTCGACGGACCCTTTCTTGCTGATCTCGCAGCTGCACGTGTGCCAAGTGTAAGAAAACAAACCGTAAACATAATCCACTCCAGACGCATAAATATAAATCGGTATAAATCTAGAGAATGTATCTCAGTACGCGGTGCTTAAGTGTTCCTTTAGTGCTCGATAAGTAATCGATCGCAGTTTCGATCTTGACGATTTTGACAAATGCAAGTGGCATCGATTATAAAAATGTCATTTTTTAAAAATAAAATAACATGATAAATACAAGATAATAAAATTAATAAAATAAATAAAATAAAGTAATAAAATAAATTAAATAATAAAATTAAATACAAGATAATAAAATTTTAAAATACAAGATGATGAGAAATTCTCAAGTATAAACATAATTTCTTCATTTCGTCGTGATTTTCAGACAATGCTGCTTGATTTTTAAATCACAAAATGCAATTACAATTACATTTGTGACGGGACAATTCTACCGATTCATGCACAGTGGAATGAATTTCGATTGAAGTGACTCTGCCATGAACAGTCTCGCAGAATCGATGAATTTATATACACACGAACGCTTCGCAACTTCTGTCGATTTCGGCCACGAATCGGCCTCTGTGTGTAATCAACAGGCGCAACCTCGACGTTTCGGTCACGCCTGTCACTGATATAAATCTAAAAAATCTACCCTGGTGTCCGAATTTATCGCGTTCGCTTTCGTCCGCGAAATGAACGTATTTTGGACGAATAAAATTTTTGATAAACACGAGGGATTTTGCGACGGATTCGTTCGTTCGTCATAGAAAGATCTGTTAGGTAAATTCGCAGATCTCTGTGCTTTCGGGAAAAAAGCACGACCATTTATCTCACAACGTCACGTAGCCGAGTCAAGGTAGTACATTTGTGGAACGAAATACGTGACCTAGAGGAGTTAATGAAACAAACGCACGAGAGACGACAAACAGCACCGAAAGCTTAAAAACAAATGTATGTCAATTTGAGAGGACTAGTTATTTTTTGATTGCGATAAAAAATATTGTTACATATCTAGAATAACGTAGCTTAGTAGCGAAAATAATGTAATGACTTTTTTTATATAAGATAATTCCCCCTTAAGAAATTATAAACAAAACTATGAAAATGAGAGGATCATAACTTAATTAGTAGCATTTAATAGCACAGTATATTTTTAATTAAAGTAATAGCATAGCTAATAATGATAAATACCAAGAGTTCAGTAATATAAAACAGAGGAATCTAATTTGAGTAGATAAACTATAAATAGAAATATATGAAACTATAATGAGAATTATAAAGCTACATATTGTTATGGAATCTTATGTAATACAAAATATATAAAATGCGATATAATTACAAATCTTTAAATAAATTCTTAATTCGTTATTAAGAAATATATATTATATAAGTTGTTTATATTTCTTCTTTTATGATAATAATTAAGTAAGTCTGTATAAAGTAATGAATATAATTTTCTCTACTGAACACACATGATCCTTTCTAATTATATAATTTAACTTTTATGGCAATATTAAACTTCCACCAAAACTTACTTTTCGATTAAAGAGCAATTCCAACTTTAACGTGTTTTTAGTCAAAAATAAATCTTGACGGTGATGAAAAAATAATAGACGACTTTCTTTTGCTACAACAAACTGCATTGACTCTCGTTAAGCTTAAATGTCAAATTAAAATTGAGATACGATCTTACAGTGAGTTACGAGTTAACTTTGCGCGTTTGTATTTGTTAGTTGTTTGTTTCCGAAAAACGTCAACCGATAAATAATTAACCTGAGTCACATATTTATACTGTTAAAGCATAATGTTTTATTGATAAGATTTCTATAAAAATATCGCAATATGATAGATTAACAAGAGGTTATAAATTTTTACTGTACTACAAAATTCATTAAATAAAACAAAACTGTGAGAGAAATCCAATTTTAAATAAAATTAAATTTGTAACATAACTGAATTGATAACAATTTCGGATGAACTCATATATTCCGGAATAAAGTAAAACATGATTAAAACAAGTTCTAAAAATCATTATTAGCCTCCGTTATTACTTGTTGATCCACTGTTTTAACGTTTCTGTTAATAGCATTTGGATTAAAAATTTTCCTTCGTTAAAATAACAACGCACATATTAACAAACCTTATGAAAGAGAATGTTTTCAGTTTTTTATTGAAAAAAAAAATGTTCTCTAGTTTTACCTCATTTTTAAATATGCATCTTTTAAAGCATTAATTTCAATTTTAAGTAAATTTTACTTATAAAAAATTACAAACTTCCTCTCTCTTCCTCTCTTGATCTTTTTCTATCTCTCCTTCTCTGATAGTGATTACATTAATTTATCAGCGCGCGTCAATACTTTTCTTTTTACTAAATTGATTGACGTACGTGTCATTTTGCTTTCAGCACACATTCACGTGAACGTCACTTTGACAAACAAGGAGCATTAATGTTCTTACGTATATCACGTATATGTTCAGAACAAATGGATGACGCTTCTTTTGTCAGTGAAAAGAAAGTAACTATATAAAGCTGACGTGATGTCATGTAATCATGCATGTTACTTCGGACTATGAACGCGACGGTCGAGATCATGTAACGACTGAAAATGGTACGCATTTCGCTCGTTCGCCTTATGTATATGCAAATAAGACGAATAATTCATAAGGTGAGAATATAAGCATGAAATATTTGGGCCGCAGTACAGGAAGAGAAAGGTTGCTAACGTACGGCCGAAAAAGCGTATGGAAAAGGTGTTTTATTATCTTTGCGCATTATATATGTCTGCGAATTACGCGCGGTTCTAATTAATTGCTTTATCAAGAAAGTAAAAAGTGCCTGATATAAAAAAAGACGAATAATAGAAATAATAGAATTTGTAGAAGTACAAAACAAAAAGTTTTAATCGTTTTGCGCAATTACTTACTTACATTAAGAAGAATCGCCTCATTACTTCACATTACTTCTCCAAAAGTGTCAGAGATATTTCTCTGCATTTTCCATCCTTTTTTCTAACTATAAAACAAGGTTTTCGTGTTTTCTTGATTCTGGATTTTACGCTTACAATCAAGTCGAGTATGTAATTTGTAACAAATTCAAAAAGCTTACAAAATTCAAAATTTTCGCTGCACTTTAACATTTTATCGCGTAAATAACAGCAAACTACAAGGAGCAACGGAAAATTCATTTAATCTCACAATGAAAATTAAGCGAGTCGCGAGAAAGATGCAAAGTCTAATAATTCCCATGTCGAGAAGATGCTGGTGACTTTACGAGAAAATAAGATTGCGTGCTTATGTTACCTTTCAATTACGCTCGTTACGCTAAATTCTTATTATGCTCAGTAAAAGTATAAGAAAATATCGAAACTTTCTGAAATGAAGAGATCATTAAAAAAAATAACGAGATAAATGTTGTAATGTATAGATATACAACTTTAGTGCTTACACGCAGCTCTCTATATAATATTTCGATTTCTTTTAAAGGCCTCATTTGATTTTATCATTCAATTTTTCTTCAATCGGAACAAACTGTTAAAGAGGAATTCGGGTTAATTGAACACCTACACGGGGTTACACGTGGCGCTTCCAGGTCAAAGAGGAAACGAAAAAAATAAATATCGATTCAGTGCTAGCGAAAGAAAGTAAAAACTACACCACCGGAAAGTGCAAAAGGCAAACAACGTTTTTCAACATAGGTCCCCAGAGAGTAAACTGAGCAGATTTGCTTTCGGAAAATTACGACGTTGCAGTCGCTTCAAATTTTAATAACCGACATTTTTATCCAACTATCTTCAAAGAAGTTTAATTACCGTACACGCGTTGCATCTTGGCGGACGGGTTATTCAACAAGCAATCTAAAAAACCATCTTTTTAAAAAACTCAAAAGAGTGCAAAAAAACAATTAAGAGCAAAATTCTTTACTTCCTCGGAACTATGCATTATATACATCCTTGCACATGACGTAAAAAAATTGAACTCAATTGGAGCACGTCAAACCTTGCAATAAATATCTCAAGCGCATAAAAAAATACTCATATATTCACGCATGACTTCCAGTTTGTGCGGAATAAATGAGAAAAGGCTTCGCGAGATTTTGTTCCGTCCGGAAGTAGTCGTGTAAACTTTTTCGGTAAAACATTGAAAAAAAAACTCGAGAGAAACAATCGCTATTTTCAGAAATTTTTAATTTTTTTATCGTCGTTTGATCTTTTGATCGCAAATAAAAAATTACGATTTTTCTCGTACCTCAAAAACGAAATAATCGCATTCGAATGATTCTGTTCTCGCGCCGACTTCGCTGACTTGCAATCGTGGAAATTGAAAATTTCCGCGGCCGGAATACAAACGATTAACGATCGTCGCGGAAATTGCACGGCCAGAATGTCGGGGAGCGTCATCGAGAAACGATTGTTTCTGTCCGAGTGTGTAATAAGTGTCTGCGTTATCCGCCAGTGAATAAATACAAACACGTTTGACTCGTGTAAAGGGATCGTAATTCTTCGATATCGCGAAACAATGAATTTATCTGTGTTTAATATTTGTACTCGGGATTTCCCGAGGGAATGAATAATCTCTTTACGATCTCGCAATTTGGCTTCGGTCTTAGCGATTGCGCAATTCCCGCACACATACAACTGTTCGTATAATCGAAGAATGCCACCACATTGTCAATCCCGCGTGAATTCAGCGTTGATTTACGTGCAAATAAAAGAAATTTTATTCCATTTAATCTCGTAACGCGGAGATAGAAATTATTAGATAAATCGCTAGTGACTATCATATGAATCATATACAAAAATCATGAAAAAAATATACATTTTTAAATAATTATTCCAAAAAATAAATAAATAACATTATATGTACTTTTAGAATTATCGCCATTTAAATCATTTCAGACAACAAAAATAACACAATTTTTTAAAATGTTTCTTCGTTATCAAATCGATATTCTCTATCAAATGTAGTGTTTAAAAATTTATATTTACGTATACTAGTTGTTTCGTTTAATTCATTTAATAATACAAAAAAAAACCATTTATTTCAGAAACGTAGTGACCTTTACGAATTACACTAATATTCGCATGATTTTTTTCTGTTTAAAATCATTTGAATAATACATTCCTATAGCTCCTGACGGATTCCTCCTGAGATTTTGTATATGCGCTAGTATAACGCGATGCAGAAACTCTTTGAGAAACTTGCAAGATGTATGAGAAATGAAGCGTTGAGAGAACATGTCGCGAAAAGGTATAGAGAGAGAGAGAGAAGAAATATAAACGTATAAAGTCGTACCTTCAGGGATGCCATGTCGGACACGGATCGATGCGTCTGAATGGTCTCCAACTGGTCTAAGCACCAGTCTAGTTCCTCTATCGTTTCAACAGCCAGTTTCATGAAGGGCTCCTCTGAAAAATCCGGAAAAACAAATTTAATACTATAAAAGTGCTCACGCTGGCAAGCAATAAATCAACATTGAAAAATGTTATCCGCCAAGGTGGCCGAGTAATCTGAGTTTAGTCGAATTTGAAAAAAATGTCGTGAAACCTTTGATCATTTATATTTGTGTATTTTTTTCATAAAATTGTTTAAAAATAAACGAGACGCGAGAAATGTGCGAAAAATATTTTTAAGCGCTTTAGGAGGGACAGGTGACAGTTTGAAAAATAAATATTGACATTTTAGAAATAAAAAAAATATGAAATTCATAAAAAATTACCTAGAAATGTATTTGGCAATTGGCATCGAATGCGTTTTTTAACAGAATTGGACTTAACAGAATCGATGGAGAATTTCAAGATTTTTTTTCAATAACTAAAAGTAAATATATAAAACATGATCGCGTAATATAATTTAAATAAATGTATACGAAATACCTGTACGTAAATATGTCTGACAAAATTAAATATAAGCAATATTTAATATAAATATATATACACTATGCTTTGATTAAAAATTGCTAGAAATATATAATCAATTTAATAAATTTAAAAATAAATATATTTCTTCAAGCAATTACTCATCATCGTTTATGTATTAATAATCACTAAACCTCGTTTAAAAAAAGCATAACATTTTCCGCGAATTACCAATAAATTGAAAGAAAGTAATTAAATATATTGCCAATATACATATATTAAATTAAATTAAAAAAAAATTATAAAAAATCGCTAAAAATTTGACAAAATTCTCCGCAATATAAACATTAAAAGATCCATTTAAAGCCACAAAAGAATCATAATATAACGAATCTTTACCTCCTGGCGCCAAAATCCGTGGCTGTGGCGTACTACTGCCCTGTTGGCCACTACTCCTTCGTGATCTGTAAAAAGACGAGTGAAAAATAAATCAAAAATTCGAGCCAATCACTCATTGTAAGATCATCAAACGACAGACGTTAATATACTTACTTATTCGTCGGTACATTCGTGAGCGACAAGAAATTGTTCCTGACCGAGCGCAGAGAAGCAAGAATCTGTGCGAAGGGTGTAACGATGAGGTCCTCGCCATGGCTGTAATTGAGAAAAAAGGCATAATTCATCATCGATGTCTCGCTAATCTCCGCGTATTGGTAGGGCAAGATTCAACGGCTTTGGTATAAATCTTTTGCCGAGAAGTCAGTGTCTACCTTGTTTCGCGTGTAATTTTCATGCAAACGTGATAGATCGATAACGTTACAAACGTAATTCTCATTCTGCCCTTCTCTTTCACGCACACATATACACATTAGATATATACCTGTGTATATATCGTGTCTATACACGATCTGGCACGTTTTTATCCTGAATATTCAAGAATTTAAAGAAAAAAAGATCAAAGCATAAAGCACGAAATACGCAATTCCGCACGAAAAAATCTCTAATTCAATAAATCTTTATACTTTTTACGATGAAAAACTAATATACCATTCTGTAAGGTTGAGCCACGAAAATACGATGTTTAAATAAACTACATATATTTTTGGATATTTTAAAGATAAAAGAGAGTAGATCACAAGTAGATATGCAGAAATATTTATTTATTGAAAGACACTAAACAGCTTCTCGCACGTGTTTGCGATTTCAAAATTAAATTCAAAATAATTTTTATAATATAGGAAATAAATATTCTGAACTTCTATGAAGAAATTGCGATTTTTTTCATATATTTTATGATTGTTTCTTATGCATTTGAAACAGCTTTATATAAATATCACTGCCCCACTTCTATAGCGAGTATCTAGTTTTATCCGAATTGGATCCTATATACGCGAATCTACTAAATGTCACGTCGACTTATCGCGTATCGAATTTTATCCTCTTCTATTCCCATGGGCATTCAATACTTTCAGTATATATACGAATCTTTTTTATTCGTTTTTTATTTGTCCCTGGAGTTAAGCGACCTCTTGTTTTCAAACCTCTCCGTATCAAGCATTATTTTACGTTATATATATTTCTCGCGTTACCATAACAATTGATAACACATGTGTGCATATTAACAATTTAGCATACTCGGAATTTAGTATAATTCGGGATGAAAGGTATATCCACATGTGTGTGTGTGTGTGTTTGCACGGTTACATGTTACATTGCTGACAATAATATTACGGAATGCACGGGTAAACGTACGTGCATAATAAGCAAGATTACAGGCATCAGACAAATCTTTCACGGAAGACTGCATAAAGTCTTCGTAAATGCATAATTCTCTGTGCATCCCGGTAACGATGTATAAATATCCACAACAGATTATATTATCTTTATTATATGTATGTATATATACACAAAAAAATAGTGTAAAAACTTACATCTCTGTAATCTCGATAAGAAGGCAACAGATTGCAGCTTCGAAATATTCAAATTGCATTGTTTCATTCGTTACAATCTGTTACAATATACCTTGTTAAAAAAATATACCTCTCGAAGGTTGCAACATGCGTCATAATCGATCATTGCTCCGAAAAAAAATCAAGAGTACACTGAAAAAAATGTGTTAACTTGACTAAACCTTTCAACTAAATATTATTTCGTTAATTGAACATATATAAATTTTTAAATTAAATTTACATCTCAAATTTAACAAAATGTATATTTAACTTAAATATTAATATATGTAACAAAATTGTAATTTAGTTGAAATTTAGTCAAGTTAATAAAATTTTATCAGCGTAATATTGCTCTAGATTTGCAGAGTTCGTGTATTTTCCGTTTCGTTTCTGCAGTTCTCGCAAGAATACATTACTGACAAATTTTTGCATACGCAAGAATAAATTCGCGACATAATCAATGTGCAATCATTATTCATTTCTATCTTTCTTCTCATCTCGGTGGAAGAAAATTACGTTTCTTCTTCGCGAAGAATATCACGGCGGAATAATTTTGGCAGTTACCCATTCCACCTCCTAGCTGAATTACCACGAATAACTCTCTTGATGCAACAAGAATCTTCGAGAATAAACAACGCCATTAAATAATTATCAATCAACCTTGTTTGTTTGGCGATATCGTAAATAGCGATGTAAATAAATTGCACTGCTAAAATAACAAAAAGAAGCTGTTGAATACTAATAACTACATGACTGAGTACAAATAACTTAAAATTATACTGCAGGTCAACATGCATTGCCTAACTAATTTACATTATATGATGAGATTATTGTATAAAGATTAAAATTGCAGTATCGCTTATATATGTAAAACTTCATTAATAACTTTATTACACTGTTACAGTTCATCGAGTGTTTGTGCAATTAACTTAAAATTGTCAAATGTAATTATATATGTATAAAATAAACTCATCCTCATACATTGTCATATACTTTCACATATATCTCAATTTATTGTAATTAAATAAAATATAAAGATTGATATTGCACAATATTGCATTATATAAATATTGCATTAAAAGATATATGCGCATGCACAATCTATTAAATATGCATATATCTATTAAAAGATTAATATTATCAATTATCGCGTGTAATTATAATACAAACTATCTTCAGGTATTCTTGGATATAATATCTCAAAGCGTTTTGAATATCACGTCATAACATGGGTACAAAGGTCTCGATCTAAAATTGGATGTCACAAGTGGAAGCCAAGAGAAAATCACGACACGCAAATGCTTAATATGAACAACAACTAGTGACGTACACCTTCCCTCTGTAATACACTAATGATATTAATATGCTGATTAAGTTGGGATATGCACAATTCCAAAATTAAAGAATCGCATAAGCGGATAATCTTAATTAATTGCCAACATAAAATTAATTAATTCAAGCATGTGTATGTACGTGCGCGCTTACAGATTAATTACATTATTTTTCATGTAACGTATTGTAGAAAGTAATTTTTTTCGAAAAATAAAAATATTGCAAAAAAAAATATTTTACAATTTATATTTTTGGGAATAATATCTCTAATAAATAATATCTGTGTAATCATTTTAATTGCGATATTACAAATTGACACGTTCCAGCATGTTCGGAAAGATATAATAATATATTTTAATACTTAAAAATTGATACGGCTCTTTTGTGAAAAAAAACAATTTAATATATTTAGTATATTTTAATTAGACTCGCCTCTCCCTCGCGCTGGGACTACGTGCAGGCAGATATATGTACACACGTGCGTTATACGTAGAATGAGAGCTCTCCTATAAATATTGCAGAAAGGTCATAAGCTACGAGAAAAGCCGATCACAAACCGTCTTCTTTATTAAACAAAAATTCGCGCCCTATTAATTATTAATTAAGAAAGTAATACTCTCAACGTCAATCACAAATCATAACAACAAAGAATCAAAATATAAAAGTCAAATGTTAAAAACAAGTGTTACGAGTTTTTTATATACTATTTTGACAACTCGAATAAAATGACTTTCTATAAATTTACTACAAAAATCTAAATAAAATTCATTTTCGCTTCATCAAAGTTTTTATTATCACAGTGCACCGTTAAAAGTAAAAATAAATACTCTGACATAATGATATATCTTCTTTTCACAGAACGTGAAAAATTTCCATCCAATATTTGATGGTTAATTGTATTTCTTCCGTGTTTTGCTAACGTAAAAATAAAAAGAAGTAAAAAAAATACTCGTGCTTTCTCACGCAACGAGGATATAAAATGAGTCGGTGAGAGCAGAAACATTATACATTCTTTCTAGAAATACGTTTCTATCATTTCCAGTAATATCTGTATTGCGCGAGGGAATATCGTGGGTGGTTAGAGAAGGAAAGTCATAATAAACTCATTTCACTCGGTCCAGAGAGGAAACAAAAGTTGCACGAAATACGTGAAACGGGGCTTTCCAAAATATACTTTGTACTGTCTTGTTTTTTCACGATCCGTCATCTCCGGGAAAAACGTACGATCATGCGACGTATACATTTGAACGATATCGTAAAAATAATTTAAAAACATTTCATTTTTACGCGTCTATCATACTGATATCCAGTACGATCTAAATTTATTATTATACCTTTAATAAGATTAGCAACATAAGTCAGGAAATAATTAAGATGTGATATAAATCGGCCGAATAAAATCTGATAATATGCTTCTATAATACAAAGCCGCTGTATTATATAAAAGAGCTTAAGCTTTGTAATCCTCTTTAAATAAGGAAAAGTAAATAGCTATTCGAAGAAGCTGCTCAAATATTCGATACGCGTCGCGAATGAAGCTGTTGAAAGGACTAATAAGCGCAAAACTGTATGAGATCAACGTTCCTCGCATACCTTTTCATCTTGTCACGGTCAGACACGCGCGACGATCAATTGCGATGGTTGATCATACACAATGGAGTTCGACTACGAGGGGACTCGAAATTCGGAGCTTAATTTCGGTACGTATGTACGTATATGCGAGCACAAGCAAGGCGTTAAATGTGACAAAACTCTCGTACGCGCTCAAGAAAACAACTTGGCGCCACATGAATGACGACAGTGCTACAGCGGAGCAACGATGGTGTTTGTCTCTTTTCTCGAATCGATCTCTCTTCTACGAACGCCTGCGATAGGCAATAAAGCTTGATGGAAGTGCCACTATTCACAACTGCTGAACATGTGAAAAGAAGTAGAAAAATCTACAAATGTTATGTAAAAGACATGTTTATTCTATGAAGTTTTTCTTTTCTAGCGAAAATTTCCTACATGTTTATGTCCTCTTTATCGAGTATTTTCTCTTTTATCTCTCTTACCTATAATATGCGTATTTTCAATTTTACAATAAATAAATAAATAGAAAAGAAGGAAAAGAGAAAATAAAAATTGTGAAATTACATTTTCTCTTTCTCTCTCTCGCTCTTTCTTCTGTCAATTCTTCGATTTTGAGGTCAATTTTTATAAGAAAATTTAATATATGAAAATCTCTTTTCAGAATTATATATTTCTCGAAATCTTTATCGAATTTAATATTATTATTATTGCTTTCCTGCAATAAAGTGGAAAATTTATACAAACAAAATCATTCTATTATTTATAATATGCATGTAATTGTGCACTTTGTTAAATAACTTG